TTCTGTAAGTTTATACTATATCAAGGATGGATGAGATGGTCAGTGTTTGGATTTCAAAGCAGATCCCTGCTATCCTCTGCAGATAGCAATTTTTTTTAGAAATTGTTTTTGGCTTGTTACTGCACTTTGCCAGCGACTCAACCTTTAATCATGGGCCACCCCTTGAGGTTAATCTTTTACATATGGATACCAGGTGTTCTAGTACCATTTGTTGAAAACACTATCTTTTCCTCTGCTCTTGAGTTTAAATTCTATAAAATGTTAATGTTAAATAATCTTTCAAATTTCAGTGGACCATATATGTGTGGTTCTATTTCTAGATTCTGTTTTATTCCATCGATCTATATGTCTTTCCTTTTGCCAACACTGCCTTGATTACTGTAGCTTTAGAGGAAGTCTTAAAATAAGGTAATCAATGTCTTCCAACACTTTTTTTTCTTTTTACTTTTCTAGGTCCTCTGTACTCCTACATAACTTTTAAATTTCAATATCCAATTCTTCATTTATAGCAAGTATACACAGACCTGAATTTTTATATATACCTTGTGTTTTCTAATCCTGCTAAATTCAAATACAAGTTCTAGGGGCTCCTAGAGATTTCTCAGTATTTTCTTTGTAGATGATCACTTCATCTACGTATAAAGATTTTACTTCTACATTGCCAATCCTATGCTATTTGTTTCTTTTTATTGCCAGACTATTTTGGTTTGGGCATATACTTCAAAGTTTAGTGGACAGATGAAGAGTAGGCATATCTGCCCTTGTTCCCCACCTTAGGGAGAAAGCATTGTATCTTCTCCATTCATATAAGGCATTTTTGCTGGAAGTATGGCATACATGTCTTTTATCTGTTGAGAAGGTTCTGTTCTACTTCTAGTCTCCTGATAGCTTTTACCATGAACAGCTGTAGAATTTAGTCCAATGCTTTTTCTGTAACTACTGATAGGATCATATGGCTTTTTCCTTTCCTCTGTTAAAATGATGACTTATGGGGGTGGATCTTCCAATGCTGAACCAACACTGCCATCCCTATAATAAAACCACTTTCTACATACTGCCAGATGTGACTTCTAATAGTTTGTTTTGTTAAACAAATTTCTATCTATATTCATACTTTTTTCTTCCATTATCTTTATCCAGTTTTAGTATTAGCACAATGTTGATTTACTAAAATGAGGCGAGAAGTAGTCCTTCTTTTTTCTGCTTTAAATGTTTGATATAATTCATCAGTTAAAATGTATATGAGCCTGCTGTTGTCACATAGGTAGGTTTTCAAGCTAGGAATATACTTTTTTTTTCTGGTACTGGGGATTGAACTTGGGTCCTTGCGCTTGTGCAGCAGGCAGCGAAACCACTGAGCTAAATCCCCGGCCCTGGAATATACTTTCTTTAACAGGTGCTATTCAAATTTTATATTTCTTACACTCAGTTTCATTAATTTGTCTTGCAAAGTACTTCATAGAAGTTGTCAAATTTATTTCAAAAAAGATTTTTGTAATATGCTTTCTATATCCTTTTAAATTCTGTAAAATCTGTGCTAATGTCCTCTAAATATTGATATTTTGATTAAAAATGTATAATTGATATTTTGTAATAGGAAGAAAAGGTCTAAAGGAGTAGGGAAGTGGGAGGGGTAGGGGAAAGGAAAGAAGGGAAAAGAAAAAATATGAGAAAAGGAAAAATGGAAACAAATTCTTTGTAAGTAGGGAAGGATGGAGGGGGTGAAGGGAGGGCAGGGGAATGGGGAAAAAATAAGAACCAGGATATGTCTTGTAAAGGTACAAGATCCCAATGATAAATGTAACTGTATTTTATACCTAAAATGTACCAATAAACTTAATGGAAAAAAAATGTCATGGGCCACCCTGTAACCCTCACTGCCCATCATGATCTGTATGTTATCTAATCATCGGGCCATAAATTCAGGTGTGCATGTCAACACTCCATTGTATATATGAAAATTGTACATGAGGTTGGGCTCGAGCAGGTCCTACAAATCCAGTAAGTTACATAAAGAAGTAGCCTGAAAGTCCACAGCCCCTACTCCAGCTCTGTTGCCTTCTCGTTCTCAGCTTGTACCTATGGTCTCATGGAATTTCCCATGACTAATTGAAAAAGAGAAAACTTAGGTCTGGCTTATACAAGGTTCTATACAATATTCAAGCACTATCCAATAGTAGATAGCTGTACTCTACAAATCCTTCTGTGACTTCCCTGAAGAGCAATGGTGAAAGGAAGTAGTCTCAATGGGCAGAATTACCCGCCATGAAATTACAAAATGTGGGGCTGGTTGTTCATTTTGCTTTGGAAGGCAAAATGGCCAGAGGTATGAGTCTATACTGATTCATGGGCTGTGGCTAATTATTTGACTAGATGACTCAGAAGAAACATGGTAAGAAAATTGGTGACAAGAAGGACCAGGGAAGAGATATATGAATAGAAGGATATGGAGGGCCGGGGATTTAGCTCAGTGGTTCCCCCCGCCTGCCTTGCAAGCGCAAGGTCCCGAGTTGGATCCCCGGTACAAAAAACAAAAAAATGAAGATATGGACAGAGAGTGTGATATTTGTGTCCCATGTGAATACTCACCAAAAGATGACCCCAATAAAGAAGAATTTTAATAATCAAGGAGGTAGGATGGCCCATTTTGTGGAGCACAGTTAACCTCTTTCTCCAGCCATCCCTGTCATTGACTGATAGGCCCACAAAGTGACCATGGTAGCAGAGGCCCAGCAACATAGACCTATATTCACCTACATTCACCAACTACTACAGCCACTACCAAATGCTATAGCAGAGAGCAACATTCAGTCTCCTTAAAGGCACTGTTTCCATGAGATGATCACCCAGCTACCAGGAAATGTTGATTACATTGAATCACTTCCATCATGAAAAGGGCAGCATTTTGCTCTCATTCTGAAAATGAATTCACCTTCCCTGCATGCAATGCTTCAGACAAAACTACCATGCTTCCTTTATTGATTATCATAGTAATCCACATAATCAGCATTGCTTCTGACCAAGGAGCTTTCTTAATTGATCTTGCCATGTCCCTATAATCCTAAAGCCACTGGCATGATAGAAGAGAGGAATTATGTTTTGAAAACTCAAGTAGCACCAGCTAGGGTCAATGCCTTGAAGGACTGGAGCAGGGTATCTCTAACTATGATGCCACTTCTCCCATAATTAAGTTTCACAGGTCCAGGAAACAGCGAAAATGGAAGTGGCATCAGTCACTATTGCCCCTCGAAAATCACCAGCAAAAATTTTGCTTCCTATTGAAGATGTTATGCTCTGCTTGTCTAGAAGCCTTGGTGCCAAGGAAAGAAGAATGCTTCCATTGGGAGACACAACAATGATCCCCTTGGACTAACAGTTGAGACTGCCACCCAGCCACTTGGGGCTCCTCAAGGCTCTGCATCATAGGACAAAGGGAGTTACTCTATTTGCCGAATTATTAATCCTGATTACCAAAGAAAAGTTGAGCTGCTACTATATAATGGAGGCAAAGAGTGTTTCAAATTCTCTCTTACTACAACCACATCTTGTCATTAAAGTTGTTAAAAAGACTACAATAAAATTCAGGAAAAGATTTGGGTGACCCTGCCAGGCTAAGAACCATGACCAGCTAAGGTGCTTACTGACAGCAAAAGAAACATGGTATTGATAACATAAGGTAGCTATAAATACTAGCTATAGCCACATGACCAGTTGCAGAATTCGGAATTTGTTTGTTTTCTTCCATCTTATTTCTTTTCATCTAAACTAAGATGCATTGATAATGTTTAATAATGGTTAACTTACCATCACAAGCTGCAGGATATCAAGACTAGTGAACATATTCCAAAGATTCTGCATTCTCTTCTGGGGAAGTAGTTTTGATTATATGAAATATAATTCTGTCATATTAGGCACAAATATGATCTTGTTGTCTTTACTTGGAAAGGCAGATGTGGCAAACTGAGGCAGGAGAATCCCAATTTTGAGGCCGGCCCAGGCAATTTAATGAGACCCTGTATCAAATAAAATTTTTTTAAAGGACTGGGGATGTAGTAAGCGGCAGAGCACTTGCCTAGCATGTGCAAGTATGAGAGAGAGAGAGAGAGAGAGATGCATGTATGCTCAAGTGTCAAATTGACAAAGGGTGGACTATGACAGTTTTTGTCAGTATAGTTAGCCCTCAGTTATTAAACCAAACACTAACCTAGTACATCATGTTGCCATGAAGTATTTTGCAGATGTGATTAATATGAGACTGTCCTGGATAATCTAGGTGGGCTCAACTCCATCCATTGAAAGCCCTTAGCAGCACAACTGAGGTTCTTTGGGGAAGGAATTCCACCTGAGATCTGCACCCTGCCTTTCTTGATGGCCAGACTGCAACAAAGAGCCTGGGAGTCCTTGGAGCACCTAATGTGTTAAAGCAACACAGGGGTGTGAAAGGAGCAGATGGGAGTGACAATTTAGGTAATAAAGGTGACTTGTGGATCTCAGGGCAGGCATAGAAAAAGTGGTTCTGACTTGGGGACTTCATACATGTCATTCTTTCCAGTAGGAATTCTCCTCTGATTTTCTTACAACCACTCTGTATTTCAGATGTCAGTTCCAACACCCAAAACCACTCATCCTCTCAAGCCACAGTCCATGACTCCTAGTGCTCTGGAGTTTTCCTCAGGGCATTACATGACTCTCCAGGGATTATTAGTCATCACACTCTTTCTCAACTAAAAGCCTTTGTTCAATAAGTTCAGCATTCAATTGTGAGTACCCTGGCATGTCACTGGCATACATAAATAGTTAAGATGCTGACTCTGGATGCCATTCTCTGGTCAAAACCCACTGCTAGTGAGCAAGGCAGAAATAGACTAAATAAATAAATAGACTATCATTTTCTACTTAATAGGAAAACAATGAAGTGTATTCCTAATGGCTTAAACTAACTCAAAACCATCATCATCCAAAGTATTCCTGATAACCAGAAAAACTTCAAATTCAACAGATTGCTCTTTCAGCCATTTATTTCTTTATTTACAGTTTGTGTCCAATGCAAATCAATTCCATAACATGAGGAGTTACTATGAATCAAAGCATAAATACACAAACACAATATATAATCCAAACAGATGTGCAGCAGATATGAAGAAAAAGGGAGTGTTCATTCACACACACAGTAGCTTCAGATCTGTTCAGTCTGGCTGTTCCCATGTAGATTTCCAAAGATGGGAAAGCAATGACTTGGATTATCAAGACTATTGTGGTCCTATTAGATACTGGAACATGTAAGCATCAGTGTGTGACCATGCAAACAAGAGTTTAGGGTGTGTCTCTTTCTTTTTAAAGGTTTCTGTGTATCAAGGCAGTTGTAAAAGACGGCAAAAATCAAGACTTAGGACAGTTCTATCTAAAAATATTGACTGATAACAGAATGGGTTCCAAATGTGGCTACTGTGATCCACAGTTTTTTTTTTAAAAAAGTATTTACAGAAAAAGTATAAAATTTTTTGCAAATTTATGCAAGTTAGCTTCTAGTCCTAGCTTCCCAAATGCTTGATTTAGTTTTGGCTCCTTCACATATTTACCTTTTTAATTTCAAGATTTGTAATTTTATCTTCAAAACAGACTGTATTTTTAATTGTGAGGAGTATTCAACATATACAGAAATAAAAAGGCAGCATTTTGAAATTAGTTGAGGTCAATACAATTCTACTCTTTGGAATCAGTTTAGCTAGATGAATCTGGTACTTGTGTTGAATAAAAGTGGGTGGTGGGGAATGCCTACCATTTCACTTTGGAAAGATAAGATTTACTTGAGATACTTAGACTTGGGGGTGGGTTCCTGTCTACTATTGCCCTGGCACATGTCAATTACCACATAAAAAGTCAAATGTAACATCAAATCCAAAGCCACAGCCAAAGCCACAGAGGGCGGGGGAAAGAGTTCAGTTTCCAAGAAAACAGTGATAGCTTAACAATGTGAAACTTTATCTAGAGGATATCAGCATTAAATTAGTACTGTTGAAACAACACATTGAGGAATTACAGTAACACCTGGTAGTTCCTTCTAATGTACATATAAATAGCATCATGGAAGCTTTTTATATTATGTTTTATGGCCTTATAGATTTAATGAACCTAATGAAAACTGAATCTCCATTCCACATCCCATCTTTTATTTCTAAATAAAATCTATTCTTCTTTTCAAGGTACAGTTTTAAGTGTCCCTATTTCTTAAGCCATATTTGAGGAAATCATGGGTAATCTTGAATGTTGTTATCTCTCTTCATCTTGTAAAAAAAAAAAAACTCCAGCAGATTTAATACTGGCATTCATCGTCTGTCAATCCCTTCACACATCCTTCAAATGAATCAAATTTGGAATTCTCAGCATTTTCTGCATCGCTAAAATAAGGTGTGGAATTAGATTTCTTCCTTGCCACACTGCACTTCTGGTTGCCATTTGGATTGGGTTTACAAGATGGGGAAGCAGGGACGTTTCTTGGCCAGTCTCTAACAGTACAGATGTAGAAGAGAGATCGAGACCACAAGGAGACTGGCTGTCGACTGCAGGGCACCGTTGCCTGCCTTGGTGGTGGCATTAGTTGGATTTGGGGTAGTAGAGGTGTTCTGGGAGGTGTTACTTGAAGGTTGCACAACAGCTGTTTGGTTTGAGTAAATCTAAAATACATAAAAAGTTACTCTGATAAATTTCTACAGATGTCATAACTAGCTCCACAAACACTCTACAATAAAGGTAAGCAATTATTTATTTATTTATTTATTTGGTACCAGGGATCGAAATCAGGACCTTGCACTTTCGAGGCAGGCGGCAGAACCACTGAGCTAAATCCCCGGCCCTATTCATTCATTTTTACAATGCTGGGAATTGAACACAGCCTTGTGTACTAACCACACGCTTTAGCACTGTGCTACACCCAAGCCCTTGATATTGTGAGATTGCTTTTTCCTTCATTGTTCTTTTACCCACATCATTAACTTCTGAATTCCTGCTCAGTCCCACCAGTTATTTTCTTTAGTTTAAAAACTGCCTATACATGTCTAAAAATGCAAGGAGCAACAAGAACAAAAAGTTTTTCAGTAATTATGTAACTCCAAGAGTGTAACTTTTTTTTTTTCTTGGTACCGGGGATCAAACTCGGGTCCTTGTGAGGCAAGTGGAGAAACCACTGAGCTAAATCCCCGGCCCTAAATAGATGGGTGTTTCCTTCTGGGTTTTTTTTTTTTTTTTTTTTTGTATCAGGGATCAAACTCAGGTCCTTGCGCTTGTGCAGCAGGGGCGAAACCAGAGCTAAATCCCCCACCCGAGTGTGACTATTTTTAATCCTATACAAAGGAATGAAGACCAAATTTACTAACCTAGGTTTTGAGATCATATGGGCTTACTGCTATAAGGTTGCCTCTATTTTCTTAGAAAGAGGGACATTTTAAAGTTACATTAAAAAACTGGACTCTGGGGCCGGGGATTTGGCTCAGTGGTTTCGGCGCCTCCTGCGCAAGCTCAAGCACCCGAGTTCAATCCCCGGTACCAAAAAAAAAAAAGGACTTTTATAATATTATAGTTGAGGTTTACGGTACTAGAAATAATTGGTCCCTGTCTATCCCAGATGTGCTAGGTAATCACAAACCCATTTCATAGAGCCTGGGTAACTTACTTTAGCCTTTAACTTAAGGGGGCCATTGGGTATCTTCTTGGCTCCTTTGAAACTGTAACTGTTCTCAAAAATGGTAACAATTTTTGTTTTAAATTGAAAAATATAATAATGAGTTCTTTTTTTTTTTGGTACCGGGGATCGAACTCGGGACTTTGCGCTTGCGAGGCAGGTGCCGGAACCACGGAGCTAAACCCCCGGCCCGTCAATGAGTTCTTGCTTTGAGACAAAATGACTTCACTCAAGGCACCATCTATTCAGAATGACCTCACATAAAAGACACCAGGAAGCTTTGATGTTAAATTCCATCAGCAGCAGGCTCAGAGCCTGGTCACTAGCTCAATGCTGTGGCCAAGAACCAAGGTTTTCATACTGTCCCAGCATCTGAGTGGTATCATTCACCACTGATTTTTGGAGCTACAAATGCAGTCCAGTGGGGCACGTGATAATCTCGCCTTTGTCATGGAACAAAGGCAGGTCGGAGTTTTCAGCTTTCACTGCAAGGGAGGGTTTACAAGGGCTTCCAATTACAGACGGGAGGGAGGGAGGACGAGGCACCGTGCGAGTCCGGGCCACAGGTACATTCGGCTGACTCTTAATCCAAAATAAAGCCCACCTACATCAGCACTAGTTCCTTTTGTTGTACAACCCAGAAGGCCACTAAGCAAATACTGACTAAAAAAGTCTAACCGCAACAAAATTCTTGATCAAGTCAAACACATTTATTGGGTATGGAGTGTAAGACTGATCATGTCCAATTAAGAAATAGCGCTCTCGCTAAAAAGCAAGCCTTAATATGGTAGATTATTTGAAACAGGAAGCCTGTTGGGGGGATCCGGATGAGATCCTTGTTCTTAATTCATACAAAGAGTTTTAGTAAGGCAGGTGACTTTTTAAAGAGACCAGGGCATCAATCTGAGAATCTAAGGGTCTTCTACACCACCAAAAGGAGATGCTGATTAAACTGCTAACACAACAAAACAAAACAAAATAAAATCCCTACCAAGCTCGTTTTACCATCTTAACTAAAATCTTTTTTTTTAAAAAAATTATCTCTCGGGGAAAAATCCACGTGGAAAGGCGACCTGGCTGAGGGACATCGTTTCCATTTCTCGTGGCCCAGCCCTTCCCCCATGGGGCAGTAGAGAAAGGCTCCGGGGCGCCGCCGACCGGAAGCCAGACAATAGGGTACAGTTACAGCCCGCAGTGGGAAAGCCCGAGAGCGCCCCACACGCGGGCCGCGCTCCCAGGTGAGCCCAGAAGCTGGGTGGCTGGGGCCCGGGGACCCGACACGCCCAACTTTCAGGGGGGTAAAATGCCAGCCCGAGGTGGTCGGAAGCCACCCGGTTGCTCCCGCCCTCCTTCCCCACCCCCACTCGGGTCCCCCGGGCGCAGCCCTGGTCCCACTCTGGGCGCCACACACTCGCCCTCGGGCAGCGCGGCGCTACTGCTGGTGCCCACGCTGCGGGCCCTGGGGGCGAGGTCGGTTCCCCGACAGACGGTGTGGGAAAAAGAGGCGGTGGCGTGGACCGGGACAAAGCTTAGCGGAGACGGGACAGAAACGCCCGCCGCGCCGCCAGTCCATCTGGGCTCCACGCGGGGCTCCTGAGGCGACAGGGGAGGTGTGTGAGAGCGCAGCGTCCAGACCGGGTCGCCACCTAGGCTTCAGCCTCAAGAACCCCGGGATGGGGTGAGAAGCGGCGCCTCACACCCGGAGCTTCCTTCCTCGGGACACCCACACCAGCTCCGTCGGTGGAGGGTGGGCACGAGCAGCGCGCCCCGCGGGGGCCGAGCCCGCTCTTTGTGTGGCGCGCGGGAGCCACAAAGGAGGGGCAGCGCCCACGAGGGGGTGGAAAGTGGGGTCCGCACTGCTCTCCCCCCTGGCCAGTTACACGAAATTCTCCCAATTCCGTTGGCTTTCCACCTCCTTGGGGTTGGCGTTTTAACTCAGCGCTTGACCTGAGGTAGGGACTCCATCCCCCTCCCCAGGGGGCGCAGCCCCCGACCCCTAAGGACGCCAGGGCCTCACCTGCGTGGGTAGGAGCAGTGCCAAGAGCAGCAGCCCCAGCCCCAGCCTGGCCACCATCGCTCTGCCCATGTCCGCTCCGTCGGCGCGCGGCGCAGCTCGCTGCAGGCCGGGTGCACAGAGATCTGTAGGCTCGGGCGGGCGCAGGCGAGGTGGGGAGCGCGGCGCCCGGCGGGACCTTATATACCCAGGCAGCCACAATGGCTGTGACGCGCACCGCCCCCCTCCCCGCCCACCCGCGATCCCCTCCTCCCGCCGTCTCCCCGCCTCCCCCGCCCCCGCCGGACTCCCCAGCGCCCCGCCCCGCCCCCTCCCGGGTCCCCACGGTCGGGAGGTCCCCGCACAGCCGCCGGGCAAGTGGGTAGGCGCCGCGGGCTGCTGGCACCCGGCTGGTGTTTCCCGGGACGGGCGGCTCCCACACAGGAGCCGGGCGAACACGAGAGCCACACACGCCGCTTTCAAGGCCGGGCCCGAGTTTCCTTTGTTCCCCGGGACCTGCCATCTTCCCCCCAGAAGGAAGTCGGGGCCTCGGGCGCCGCGGGACTGCCATCCCCAGCTCCGGCCGCGGGGCGCATCCACGTGGGGGTCCCTGGCGCTCGGATTTGTCCGATGCCTACCGCGGAGGAAGGGGGGGACCTGGGCGGGCTTGATAGGTCCCGGGGAACCAGGGCTGGCGCCTGGTGCGCGAGCGCTCGGCGGGGCTCACCGCAGGGCCCCGGGCGCAGAGACATCTGCGATCGGCCCGGAGGGCGCTGGGGCCCTGGGCGCTGATCCGAGGCCGGACGTTACTAAGGACAGGGTTTCGGTCACCTGCCCTCTAGCCTGACTCGGGGACTGGGAAGAGGGGAAGATGGCCCACCCCGCGGACTCCCTGCTCCACCCTAGGGGCGGCAGCCCCACCATCCCCAGTTGTCCCGCCCGAATTCGCGGCCCCACTCGAATTCCCGGGGACACACTTCTTCCGGCCCTGTTCTTGCAACCTACTCTCTTGTCATTCCTTTAAGGAGCAGAAGCTTTCAGGGATAAAGCCATTTACTTTTCCATAGTTGCCATTAAATAATTTAATGAACTGGCCCAAACAGGAGATTAGTCATCGTTCTGCAAATTTTAATGGAATGTTTTTTCCAATCATTTTATTGTGAAGACCTTAAAGCAAAAGTTGAAATCATTTTACCGGTGGGATATTTTTTAGTATAATTTTTAATTTCCGGACCTGATCCCTTTTTATTTTAGGTTAGCCCAAGTTGTTTTTTCTTTCTTTCTTTCTTTAAAGCAAAACAGAGCAAACCCAATAAAGGTGTGAATTTGTTTAAATTTCACTTTTGCAGAACAGTCTCATAAAACAAGGTTAGTTTTATGGAAGCAAAGTGACAAATCAGTAGCAGTTGGTCTGTAACAACCTTTCTCAGTAACTTTCCGCGTTTGGGATGTGCTTGGGAACACAGGAATCTCTGTTGAGCACCAGTGAACTTCTGTTTCACAGTTACCACTTTGTATAGAAAGACAGCGTCTGTGCCCAGCTTGCCACCCCCTTCCAAGGTTAAGAAGGGACAAGTCCTAACTCAAGAGGGCCCATCTTGAGAGCTGACCCTTCAGAATCTGCTCATTGAACTAGTGCTGGTATTTATAGGATCCATTTATTTTGTCCTTCATTCTTCTTTCCCCTCTTCCTCTCCTCATCCCTCCTCCTACTTGCTATTAACATAAGGAATTGGATAGAGTGTTTAGGAAGGCTGCCTCTGGTGCCAAGCTGCCCCAGTTCAAATGCTGGCTGTACTTTTACTTCAGCAAAGCCTCAGTTTGTTCCTCTGTAAAATGAAAGTGATAATACCATTATTAATGCATTATTAAAGAGTTACTGTACATATATTTTACAGCAGTGTCTGTGTCACAGTGGTAGCTGTCCTCAATATTTGCTCCCCGACAGAAGGTGCCAGAAGCCAGAGGTGCCTACTTTGTTTACAGCTATGTGATTCACAAGAGAACTATTAAACTGCAAACAATGCCTGAAATTAGTGAGGCACTTGGGATCTATGCTTTGTGAACAACCTCCTCTCCAGCCAAAGAGGCTGCGTAACTCACAGACCAAGGGCCCCCTTCCCACCTGCCAAGGAACTGCCCCTGGACATCCTCTTGTGAATGGTGTCCAGGAACAGGAAGAGGAAAATCCTCTTCACCGATCTTGATGTGTTTCCTGTACAGCTAGAAACTCAAGAAATCTGTTTGAAAATTCTCCTTTGAGCTTTTTTCTCTGGGGCTGGGGGAAGGGAGTTTTGATTTTCTTTTAAAAATGATGTTTTGCTATGTAGTTCAGGCTTTCCTCAAACCTTCCCTAGCCTTGAACTCATGATCCTCCTGCCTCATCCTCCAGAGTGCTAAGATTACATGTGTGTGCCACTGTACTTCCAAGTCCTTTTTGTTTGTGATTCTTTCTTCCTATTTTTCCTTCCCTTCTCCTGGTTTTCCATAGTTTATTTGCTTTTCCTTTAGCCAATAATAGCCCATGCCACTGGACTAAATGAGACTCTTACTACTTATCCAAAAGTTTTTCTTTTCTTCTTTTTTTTCCCCCTTAGGTACTGGGAGTTGAACCCAGGGCCTTCATACTAAGGTCCTTTAGAGACAGGGTCCTGCTAAGCACTAAGTTGCCCAGGCTAAGCTCAAATTTACAATCTTCCTGCTTCAACCTCCCAGAGTGTTAGGATTACAAGCCTGCACCACCATGCCCAGCTAGGGTTATGATCTTAACTGAGTTCATGAATATATTTAACAGAATGCTTGACACATAAGACTCACTAAACTGCCACTTCTAGAGCCATATTCATCATAGTGTGGCTTTTAAAATCTTTCATGTGTATAACACTTGCTCTTTCTTGTATAACACATCCTTCCATGTGGCATTTCATCTGTAAGGTCAGTAGGGCAGACAGCTGTGGTATCATTTTCATTGGTGAGGTGGACAGAAGCTAAGTAATTTACCCAAGGCAACACAGCCAGCTACAATGCCACACCTAAATTTGCAACCAAGCTTTCCTGACACAGGTCCCAAATCTCTTCTGCTTTGCCAACAACAGCAACCACATCCTGTCCACCCCATACCCTCTACACCTAGCACTCAGTCCATATTTTCTTTCTTTCTTTTTGGTACCAAGAATTGAACTCAAGGACTCGAGGTTGCCAGGCAGACACTGCACCACTGAGCTACATTCCCAGCCCCTCATTCATATTTTCTGATACTAAGAGACTAGCCTAATTTTCTTTTAAAGATAAAATAATAAATTTTCTGGAGAAATAGAAGATAATGGGTTATATTAGTTGACATTTTAGCAGTTTTCAGCAAAATGGATATGAATATAATATTAATCCAATAAAGGATATTCCTTCTGTGCTGACACAAAGTTTGGTTGGAGTGGCCTGGATGTAGTGGAGCATGTCTGTAACCCTAGTTACATGGGAGGCTGAAGCAAGAGGACTAAAAGTTGGAGCCAGCCTGGACAACTTAGGGAAGCCCTATGGTTTTTGTGGTTTTTTTAGTTCCGGGGATTGAACTCGGGTCCTTGCGCTTGCACAGCAGGCGGCGAAACCACTGAGCTAAATCCCTGACCCTAGGGAAGCCCGATTTTAAACAGAGGGTGGGAAGGGGCCGGGGATTTAGCTCAGTGGTTTCGTTGCCTGTTGTGCAAGCTCAAGGACCCGAGTTCAATCCCCGGTACCAAAAAAAAAAAAAAAGGAGGGGGTGGTGGTGCTGGGAGTGTGGCTCAGTGTCAAGGCTCTGGGTTCAATCTCCAGTACGTCAAAAAAAAAAAATAAGGTGTCTGGAATCGCATGTTTAAATTGTCTTGTACAATATGATATTTCTGCATTTGGCTGGCAGTGAATATTTCGGTTGTTCCTGGTCGTTTAACTAAGCTTTGTCCCTCTCTCCAGCCTGTTCCAATCATGAGATGGCAGTGAAGGTAAGAGTTTGCCCTTCTGATGCATCGATGAAGTCCTAGACTTGGTTTGAACGTTTGTAATCAGCTGGTGGACTCCCAGCCATACTCTGTGAGGACGTGCTGCCCCCTGCTGTCCACAGGCACTCTCAACAGCCCCAGTCAAAAACAAAATCTCTTCTGTGTGGACTTCATTTAAAAGCCCCGAATTTTTGAAGACTCATGAAGCTAATGAGCCACAATGGAGTTTCTTTTACAATTTGTTTATCCTTCCCCCTCCAGAATCACTCAAATTCTCTCAGGTCTTAAGCTTCATCCCACAAATAAACAAATGTAAAGGGAGAGAATTGTGATTATTTTTAGCTATAAATTGAGTAATACAATGCCTACTTCTAAGCATCCTAAGGTTTTAGTTGTTTCTGTTGTTTAAAGAAATGAAAGAAAAAGAAGAAAATTTAATCTCTTTGCTGGAAGTGGTGGCGCATGCCTGTAATCTCAGCACTTGGGAGGCTGAGGCAGGAGGATTGCCGTGAGTTCAAGGCCAGCCTGGGCTATAAAGTGAGTTCAAGGCCAGCCTGAATTACATAGTGAGACCCTGTCTCAAAAAAATGAAAAAATAAATTTAATCTCTTTGCCCCAAACTTAAATGTGATGTCTCCATTGCGTTGGCTACAATGTGAGAAAACAGCTCCTCGCTTTGATGCTGATGGGATTATGGAAAGAATTTAACATTTATCAGTGTTAATACTGCACATTCCCTTTGGTCTGACAATTCTGATTTTAGGAATTTAGCTTATAGCTTTTTGCACAAATGCAAAAAGATATGTGTTCAAGGATTTATTGTAGCACTGATTTTAATGGTAAATGGTTGGAAATCACCTAATTATCCAAAAGTAGAGGCCTGGACAAAGAAATGATATCATATTGTAAGATATTATAAAGTAATTTAAAAGTGCAAAAGAGCATAATCCATACTGTAGGGGATAAATTCTCAAGTGAGAAAAGTGGCATAGTATGGTAAGGTGTTCAAACAAAAAGTCAACGAATTTCCAAAGAGATTTGACAAAGTGATAGTCCTTGCCCCTGAGAGGAACTGGGTGAGCAGGGCTCACGAGTGAGAAGCATTTCCCAGTGTAGACCAGCTTATTCTATTATTCACAAACAGATAACATAATTCAAATAAATTAACAAGTCGATACATCCTGTGGTCTTCGCCCCCAACTCCCAAAGACTAGTGTGTGAA